TCACAGAGAGAGTAAAAAAAAAAAGAAAAAAAAAAAGCACAATTAAGACAGTTGGGCAGGGAGAGGGAAACAGAAATACAAGTACACACAGAGCACCACTTCCTGTTGAGAGTGCTTGCATCCTAAGACTGCAGGAAGCTCACAGGAAGTAGTCAGCGACTGGCTTTTTGGAGGGAATGCCTCTCGTTTCTTGTGGAGCAGCTTCGAATATGATGAACTCTTTCTGCAGGTGCTCGTCAAGCTCCAAGATTGCCGCCACATTACCACATCTATGACAAAGAAAAGTGGATAAGTAAGCATTTTGTTTTCTTATTAATAGTATTTATTACAAGAAAATCTTGAATTACTTGTAACAGTTTGAATTAGATATAAAAAATAAAAAAAACCCCAAAAAAGCGAGTCAGTTGTGAATGATTCACTGAGTGATTGAGTCCGATTCAAACCACTGACTCACAAGAGCCGGTTCATTTGTTGCTCATGCTGTGTTTGTTGTGTGTGTAGGAAACTCTCACATCCACTATAAAGATGTAATTAACAAAAGCGCAGGTGAACGCGCACAAAGTTTTCCAGACTGGTGCAAATACTGACTACATTTAAAATGACCGTTGTTTGTGGTTTTTATTTGTCATCTTTGTTACTATTTTAGTTACAGTCTGCAACCCTGAATAATACAAAAACGACAATTCCAATCAGAGTTATTATAGTTAATTAAACAAAACCATAAAACTTATTTTACTTCTTTAAACTTTTTCAGAGAAGTAATTTCAGCTGCTTGCTAAGGCAACACTTCTCAGTTTCATTTAGTTTAACTTAATGTACTAAAACTGAAATAAAAATTATAAAAAAATATACAAAAAAAATAAATGTTTTCATTACTTGAAATAAACTAAACGTTACCTGAAATACAATACATTTATTTCACCTATTTTAATTTCTAATTTTCATTTAGTTTAACTTGATAACAAATAACAAAAAATTGAAAAAAAAATTTCATTAAAAAAAATAAACATTAGCTGAAATAAAAAACAAACTCAATTTTCTAAGCTACATTTCTCCTTTTAGTTTAGTTTAATTTGATGCGCTAAAATAAGTACAACTGAAATAAAAATAAGAAAAAACAAAAACTAAAACCATAAAAATACAACATTTCATTACTTCGAATAAAATAACTGAAACAATGTTGAAATTAAATAGCCTTTCTCATTTTCATTTAGTTCACTTGATGTACTACACCAACTACATTTTCTGGATAAAAAATTTGACATTTAAAAATAATGTGGAAAAAAAGGACAAACTTTAAAATAAAAATAACTATTTACTAAAAAAACTAATTCATAAAAAAAA